ATGATGCTGCTTGGCCTGCTGTGTTCATCCAGCCCTGCACCTTGTTGTCTCGGATTCTCCAGCATCTGCAGTTCCTACTATCTCATATTTGTGTGAATATTTTGATCTTAAGTTCTATACAGGACGATTGGAGAGGTTGGGACTGTTTTCTTTGGAAAAGAGGTGGCTGAGTGGAGATTTGATAGAGATGCACAGAATCCTGAAGGGCCTGGACAGAGCAGATAGAGAGAAGTTGTTAACCACCAATAGAAAGCTTGAGGACCAGAGTTTTAAGATAATTAGCAAAGGAAGCAATTGGTGACTTAGGGAAAACTCTTCCATACGTGGAATGGTTAGGATTTGGAATGCACTGCCTGCGAACACGGTGGAGGCTTGTTCAACTAAAGCTTTCAAAAGGGAATTGGATCATTATTTGAAAAGGCAAAAGAGTTACAGATTAAAGGCAGGGGAGCGGCACCAGGGGTCTTTTTCCTTCAGAGAACTAGCGCAGACACAGTGGGTTGAATGGCTTCTTTCTGTACTGTAGGCATTCCACAGTTGTACTCTGCATTTGAGCTTCAGATATTTAAACTAGTAACCATCTCCCAAATAAAACAAGGAACTGTGGATGCTGAAGATCTGAGACAAACACAGAAATTGCTGGAGAAACTTAGCAGGTCTGGCAGTATCCTTGGAAAGAAAGCAGAATTAATGATTCAAGTCCAGTTCTGAAGTAGGGTCACTAGACTTGGACCGTTAAGTCTGCTTTCTTTCCACAGATGCTGCCAGACCTGCTAAATTACTTCCTAAATCCTATTTAAAGTAAACCTTCCAGAAATCCACGACCGACTCGAGCTAGAGTTGCTGTCAGCTGCCATCCTGCTTTGGGAAGAAGGGCTTTTCCTACTTGCTCTAATCCAGAGGCTTTCTTCTTTTTCAGATAACACAGACAGACCTGTCAAACATTTCCATCGAGACGGAGTGCAGAACTACACAAAGCTGCTGCTGAGTCCTGAACATGGAGTGCTCTTCATTGGTGCAAAAAATGCCATTTTCTCCTTGGACATTTTTAATATTGCTCCCAATGAGTTTAAAAATGAGGTATATTCTTATTTATGGCTGAAAGGGGATGGGAAGTTATCTTGATGCAGAGCAAATGAGTGCTGTTGTATTTGGCTACTTCTGTTTGTTATTTCTTTTAAAGGTCATTCCTCTGGGATTTAATGGACAATTAGTGCTATGGCACAAAGCAGAAGAGCATTTTGACTGTGGATGCAAATCCATTGGGAATGATCAAAACACCTCTCACTGTCAGCAGTCAGAGCGTACATCCAGACACAGGGCACAGGGTCACAGAGAGAAGGTTCAGTCACATTATTTCATCAAATTTCCCACCACCCCGGCTCCAACTCTGTCATTAAATGCTGGGCTCCTCTCTCTGAGATGGTGATTGACAGCATATTGCCTTCTGTCGCTCATGTTGTGTAATTACCGAACTGAGATGAACCCAGCTTCCCAAAGCCTGTGAGGACTAACCCTCCGCTGGCTCCCAATTTGGACGGAGCCTCAGCCCAGATCAGACAGAAGCAATCCAATTTGATGTTGAAGATATGATGTCAAGGTGCCAGTGTTTGACTGGAGTGGACAAAGTCAGAAATCACGCGATTGAAAACACAAGCTTTTGGAGTGTATCTCCTTCATCAGGTGAAGTGAGAAAGAAGCACACAGAACACAGAATTTATAAGTAAAAGATCAAAGGGTCACACAACTGATGAGGATGTATTAAACAAACCTAACATGGGCTGTAACCTGGTGTCATGTGATTTCTGGTGTCAAGGTTAGCAGGTCAGCTAGAGTTGTGTGTGGTGAGCCAGTGAGGGGTTCTTGATAACAATCCTAAACTGAATATTTATTATTGAAGTTTCAGAAAACCACCTGGAAACATCATTAATCCTGTTATCAAAATAATTTGATCTTGGTACCCCACACCGAATATTTCCACTAAAACTGTCATCAGGGTGTTGAACAGTTTTAATGGCAACAGATTAATTTCTAAAAACAAAGAACAAAAATACAAAGTACAGAGAGTTTTGTTGAAATGTACGTTTTTATTGAGGGAGACAGGCCATAGATTATCAGCCATTCACTAAATTGTATTAACTCTGAGAAAAGGACATGGGTAAATCACTGATTTATAATGCAAGTGGCATTTCCATTGTGTCAGTGAAGGAGAGTGAGAGATGGTTTGCAACATAAGACAGAGAATTGTGTCCAATTTCTCCAATTCGTTGTTAGATTCATTTCCTCACTGGTTTCTAACATTGTATAGAGGGATTCTCTGTGCACTGAATGTTTTATATCTTTGTTTTAATCTCTTGAATGGGGTTGATTTTGATTATTCTGTTTATTGTGACTAATGGCACAAGTGCACTATTGCAGTAAATGACTAAAGACTTTCTGCTGTAGGACCTCAGCTGTGGGGGAGCATGAGGTGATTTTTAAGGAGTTGCATTAACAGATTGTTCAAACTGTAGTCGTAAAATTTCTCACAGTTCCCAACGTTCGAATAGGAACTGTCTAGAAATGTTTTGAAGAAGAGACTGTGCGCAACCCACTGTGTGACTGCCAACCACTAATGAGGTGCTGTTGAAAAGGGTGGCCTCCCTGTTATAATAGGAGGCAGCCAAAACGCCATGTGGTCATTGGCTCCTTCTCCTCATTCCACAACAGTACTCCAACGTGGACTCATTCCTCCTGTCATGTGCATTGGGTCACATGATCAAGCCTCAGTTAGAAGATCAACCTTGAAGACGTCAAACAGCACAGCAAATCTGAAGGGCTGAATGGACGAATACTGCCCTTTTTTTTAATGCTCTCAACTTGAGTGAAGTATTGCTCACTTCAGTTGATTCATGAAGGCTAACTTAGCTGCGTAAAGGGTCCTGTTCAGGATGGGATGCAGGTAGATGAAGATATTGCTGTCTAGTGATAGTCCATGAGGAACCAAAAGCTTCTGCCTTTGTTAGAGAGAGAGACAACTGGTTATGTAACTTAAAGAGCACCACTGCACATGGGACAACAAAAGAAGGTAAGTGTACATGAACTACCACCACCAGGACAGGGATTAAACCCACATCATTGGTATCATTCTGTACCTTACTCTAGCCAGCCCCATATTGAGGGTTGAGATTGGACCAATTTGCATTGAACTGACTTAATATGAGATGGGCTATCTTCTAGACACCTCTGTTATGTAAATGAGGGGGCCGAATGTCTTTGCATGCAAAGGATGCCTGGAGAACATCTGACAGAGCATTGGACTCAGCCATTTTCTGGACATCCTGAGCTAAATAATATGGACTCAAAGTCACCATACCTGATATCGGTTGACAGTGAGTTTCTGTTCCCAAATTGTCATTAGATTATTAGTGCTTCCTACTGCTAAAGTCATGAACTGTGCATTCCCTCCCTTCAACAGCTCTCTAGCCAAAGACAAGCTGGTGAGAGTTAAGAGTCAAGATGGATTATTGGTTGTTAAACAGATGTTAGTGCAAGATCTTGAATTAAATCCAAATATCCCTTTACAGGTGGTTTGGGAAGTCCCAGAGCAGAAGAGGAACGAATGTCACTTTAAGGGGAAGAGCCTGTCGGTAGGTGAAAATTAACCATTGAGATACATTTAAGAGCAATGGCGAGTGATAGGTTCTAACAGGTTTCTCTTGTTTCAGAGTGATTGCTTCAACTACATCAAAATCCTCCTTCAGGTGAACAGTACACACGTTTATGTTTGTGGGACTTACGCTTTCAGCCCCACTTGTGCCTACATCGTAAGTGTTGACACTGCCATCTTTGGATGTTAAGAATTAAACTATTGCCAACTAATTGCACAAGCACAAGGTGTAACCTATTATCTTTTCCTCGTAGCATATCGCAAACTTCTCTCTGGCAAAAAGTCCGTTTGGTAATCTCTTAACAGAAGATGGAAAAGGCCGCTGTCCCTTTGACCCGACCTATAAGTCGACTGCAATTATGGTTGGTGGGTAAAAGCGGGTTTTGAGTGGTGGTTACCCACTATATGATTATAACTCAGAAAATGAGATGGTATCCTTAGCCAGTTAACTGTCAGATTATAGGGTTGCTGGTTGGAGCATACATCTTAATCCAGTAAAGGATCACTCTGATGATCAGATGTTGTTTCTGCCAGCGGACCTGACTGTTCCAGAAGTTTCTCCCAGCTTTTCTTTCTCTGGAGTTTGGAAGATTGAGTGATCTGATTTGGCCTCTTGAAGATGATGTAAGGATTCAGTGCACCACACAAAGAGAACTATCTTCTTTTGATTTCCTGAACTAGTGTAGAAATCTTTAAAAAGAGAGCCATGCTACTTAAGAAGCAAGTCAAGAAACTCTTATAAAAATAGGGTGGAAGAAATTTCGGATCCTTTTTGGACAAGTACAGGGATAGGAAAGATTTAGAGGGATATGGGCCAAATGCAGGCAAGTGAGGAGGGAAAAAAAAACCCGAAAGAATTGTGGATGCTGGAAATCAGAAACAAAACAGAAATTGCTGGGAAAATGGGCAAATGGGACTAGTTCAGTTTAGGAAACCTAGTCGGCATGGACGAGTTGGGCCAAAGGGTTTGAATCTATAAAGAAAGGACTGAAAGCTGGCTCGATTGTGATTCAAGACTGAGACTGTGATTTTTGTTACGTTGGGGCAAGAGGTGATGTGGAACAAAGATGGGATAATGGTGTTGGTATCAACAATCATGTAAATGGATAGAGGGTCAGACTTGAGGGGCGTAATGGCCACACCTGTTTCTGTGGTTCCCTCTCAATCAGCAAGATTCAATGCTGCACCACACATTGCAGCCTGGATCCAAACATTTGCAAAAGAACTGACCTCCATAGGCGAGGTGAGAGTGATTGCCCTTGACATGAAGGGCCATTTGACTGAATATGGTATGAAGGAGCCTGAGCAAAATTGGATTCGATCAATGGGAATCGGGAGCGGAGTGAAAACACTTCATTAGCTAGAGTCATAACTAGCATAAAAGAAGGAGCAGCGGTCCAGAAGCTTGTAATTTCAAATAAACCTGTTGGACTATGACCTGGTGTCGTGTGACTTCTGACCTTAGTGTAGAAAAAGATGATTGTAGTTGCTGGGGATATCCCTACAGAATTTCCTCAGGGTAGTGATGTAGCCCCAATTATCTTTAGCTGCTCACTCAATAACCTTTCCTCAGTTATATGGTCATTATTGAGGGTGTTTGCTAATGGCAGCACCATGTTCTAGTTCCTCAGATAAATACACAGTGCCTCTATGAAGTAAGACCTGCACATCATTTAGGCTCGGTCTGATAAGTGGCAAACACATTTGTGCAACAAAAGTGCCAGGCAGTTTTCAGCTATAGAAAAGGGGTACTTTAGCACTTCCCTTTGATGTTCAGCAGTATTACCATTACTGATTCCCTCACCATCACCGTTCTGGATGTCGTGGTTGGCCAAAAACACAATGGGGTGAACCACATGAATTCTGTGGCTATAAGTGCAGGTCAAAGCCTGGGAATTCTCCAGTGCGTAACTCACTTCATAATTCCCCAAAGCTGTACTTTTAGCAAAAATCAGGAGTGCGATGGAATATCCTCCACTTGCCTACATGAGTGCAACTCCAATAACGTTCAAGGAGCTTAAAACATTCCAGGACAAAGCAGCTCCGCTTGACATTCTGATCCACAACTTAAATATTCACTCTCTCTGCCATAATGACAACAGTGTGTACCATCTGAAGGTGGATTGCAGCAACTCACCAACACAGCAGTTTCTAAACCCATGACCCCTATCATGTAGAAACACAAGAGAGGATAATGCATGGGATCACCAGCACCTGCGATTTCCTCACTGAGCTATACGTCATCTTGACTTGGAATTACATTGCCTTTCCTTCGCTCCTGCTGGGCTAGGGTTAGGGTTAGGGTTGGAGCTCCCACCCTAACAGTACTGTGGGTGCTCCTATACCAGATGGACTGTAGCAATTCAAAAAGCAGCTCACCATCACCTTCTCCAGGGCAATCAGGGATGGACAATAAATGCTGTCTCTTCTATCAATACTCAAATCCAATGGAAGAATAAAGAAATAGACATTGAACCAAGGAGAAGCCACATTTCTCTTATTTGAATAATTGGATTTTACATTTTGGAGTCTGATATTATTATGTAGAAATATATAAAGACTACATATTAAATATTGAAGAATTCTACTGATGGCTTTAATCTGTGCTTGTCTTTGCTTCTGCCAGATGGGAATTTGTATGCAGGAACTGTCAGCAATTTTCAAGGGAATGAGCCAATCATTTCAAGAAGTCTAGGAAACAAACCTCCCTTAAAAACTGAGAACTCTCTCAATTGGCTCCAGGGTAAGTAACAGGCGGCAAATGCAGAGATGTGTAAGGATGAATGTCTTTAAAATAACCAATTGACTCCTATCACAGGGGCCTTTTCAGAGCAGCAGTGCTGATTTGTGAAGGTAGCCCAGAGAGTTGGGTTGATCCATGATCACCGAACCCAGCTGTGTCATTAAAGGGAGACACGGAGTTCAGGAGAGATGCTAGCCCACGGGTGGAAAAGAAGATCAAAAGGCAGATCAGCACAAGTAAATGACATAAGAAACAGTTGGAAGCAAAGTTCGGCCTCCCTCTGGGATGATAACAACTCACGGCAGGAGCTTCTGTTCTGCCATACTGCTTAGTGCTAACATGGCCCTCCTCCCGGCTAGAGTTTTTAAAATGTATTTGTGGGATATGAGTACCCACCCGTATTTGGCGTTGAACTGAGTGGCTTGCAAGTCCATTTAATAGGGTAGTTGAGATTCAACCATATTTGTTGTGGGTCTGGAATCACATATAGGCTGGACCAGGTAAGGACAGCAGATCTCCTTCCCTAAAGGACAAGACTGAATCCTACATGGGTTTTTACAACAATGGTTACAGGGTTGCCATCAGACAAGCTTTTATTTCTAGATTTTCATTTGTAAATTAAATTCAAATTTCACCATTTGCCATTTGCCATGACATTAGTCTGGGGACACCGAATTACTAGTCCAGTAATATTCCCCTGCCTGCCAAAATGCTCACACCCAGTCAAACTGTCCGTCCCATCATGCCAATCTGTGTGTCTGTCTGGTATTGAAGAAAAGTTGCCTTTTGAATCTCAAAACAATACATTCAGGGTCCAGAATTTTTCTGAAGAAGGGCCCAGACCCGAAATGGCAGCTTTCCTGCTCCTCTGATGCTGCCTGGCCTGCTGTGTTCATCCAGATCTACACCTTGTTATCTCAGATTCTCCAGCATCGGCAGTTCCTACTATCTCTTCAGGGTCCAGGGTAGCTAAGGTTGGATATGTTCAGATAAGATTTCAGCATGTGAACACAAATGAAAGATGAAAGTCAGCTCCATCATTGTGAACCATCTCATTTCATCTTCTCACTCCTTCCCTTAATCCAAAAATCTTGATACACTTATTCATAGAAACCTTTGTATGAAAAGAGGCCAGTTGGCTTACAGAATCTGCATTGACCATCTGAGGAGCGTCCCACCCAGTTCTAGCCCTCAACCTTATCCCTGTAATCCTGCATTTCCCATGGTTAATCCACCTAGCCTGCATATCCCTGCACACTACAGGCGATTTAGCATGGCCAATCCACCTAACCTGCACTTCTTTGGACTGCGGGAGGAAACCGGAGTATCCGGAGGAAACCCACACAGACAGTGCAGACTCCACTCAGACAGTCACCTGAGGGTGGAATCAAACCCAGGTCCCTGGCACTGTGAGACAGCAGTGCTAACCACTGAGACACCGTGCCACCCTTGATTTCTGTCTTGAACAAACTCAGTGATTGAGCTTCCACAGCCTTCTGGGATGGAGGATACAAAAGATTCACCTCACTCTAAGTGAACAAATTCTTCATCTCAGATACTAATTCCCTTATCCTGAGACTATGTGCCCTAGTTGTAGAATTACCAGCCAGCAGAAACATCCTTTCCCTAGCTATGCTGTAAGAATTTTACGCTGTAAGATTCCCTGTCATACTTTGAAACTAAAGAATACAGACCCCGTTTCCTCAATGTTTCCTAATCAGACTTGCTCCTGAACTGATGGATTAAAACAAGCGTGATATGTGTCTACAAAAAAAATCCCTGTAAGTCCATGTTACTTTAATCCATAAAGCATGGCCCTCCAGGGTGGTTATTAAGAAAGACTATAGCTAGCAGCATTCGCTTTATAGAGCTGTAATGCACTAATCTCCCCCTGGACAAGCAGTAGAGATCTTTGAAGGAGGATATACATGAAAATAATAGGATTAGGTAAGAATAGCTGTATAAATTGGCAACAGACATCTAGGGCATCTTGATAGAGTGGAACTGTCACTTAATTCAACAAATTCGAGGTTGAATCATGAGGCAAATATCCAAATGCCTTTAGGTTTAAAAGACCGTGGGTCCTGATCAAGGCAGTGAGTTTTTGGGCACTTCTTTCTCGTTGACATTGTTGCACTTAATAAACTTTCAAATTAGACTTTTCTCATCATCGATGATGCTCTGCTGAGCCTGGTAAGGATGAAACAAAACACTAATGGCAACTGAGATAACAAGGTGTAGAGCTGGATGAACACAGCAGGCCAAGCAGCATCAGAGGAGCAGGAAGGCTGACGTTTCAGGCCTAGACCCTTCTTCAGAAAAATGGCAACTGATGTCTTGCCTTTAACTGTTTTGTTATTCTCCAGACAGATGGATACTTATCGAGTACAGGAGTGTATTGTGTGCATTTACTCCCTTGCATATCATGGATTGTTGTGCCAGGCTTGCTGTTAGCTACGTGAGATTCGGACTACACAACAAATTTCAATACCCCAGACTTGATGTAGGCATTTTACCTCATGATCATTTTAGTGGGCGATACAGCAAGCCATGCCAAGGGATAAAAGTCAGGCCTCTAACTTTCTGATTCTACGTAACAGTTGCTCAGCAGCATTTAAAGCAATATCAAATCACTTCAAAAACAAAAGCCCCATTGAATTCACTTTGTCAAACTTAACATTGTTTGCAGTATTCCACAGTAAGGATCATCAATGATTTGTGTTGAAGTCCTGGATGGAGACATATTTTAAACTGGTTGTCATGTTTTACAGATCCAGCATTTGTAGGTTCAGAGTTTATTCAGGACGGAGTCTCTGGAAAGACTTCTGGCAGCAATGATGGAAAAATCTACTTCTTCTTCAGCGAAACTGGCAAAGAATTTGACTTTTTTGAGAACACCATCGTATCACGGATAGCTCAAATCTGTACGGTAAATATAAATCCTCCCGAAAGGTTCCCATTTCTGGTCATTGTTTCCAAGTGTATTTTTTGGTAATACAAAACATACTGACCTTCTGTTATTATTAAAACCTCTGGGAATTCTGAATTCACGATCTTGTCTTTCTGTACTTCAACACTTTGATTATGAACTAAGTTTAGCTGGGCATGATGGTGATTGATCCTGTAATCCTGAGAATTGAGTTTGAATATTGCCTTTGCATTTTGAGAATTTGAAGCCTAAAAACAAAATTAGTTGTTGAATGAATGCACAAAGACTCAGTGAAATCAAACTTGTTATCCAATCTCCTTTCGAGAAGAAAGCTTGCAGCCTTTACTTGTTCCCACTTCATGTGACTCCAGTCTCACACCAGTGTGCTTGACCCTTAACCGTCGTCTGAAGTAGTGATGAAGCCAAAAATATTGTCTCAAACTCTGAGCAAGTAGGACTGGGCAATAAATTTGAATAAGTTTGACGTTATGTTGAAGTTGTATAGGACGTTGGTGAGGCATCTTCTGGAGTACTGTGATAGTAGGAACTGCCAATGCTGGAGAATCTGAGATAACAAGGTGTAGAGCTGGATGAACACAGCAGGCCAAGCAGCATCAGAGGAGCAGGAAAGCTGACGTTTTGGGTCTAGACCCTTCTTCAGAAATGGGGGAGGGGAAGGGGATTCTGAAATAAATAGGAAAGAGGGGGAGGCAGATAGAAGATGGATAAAGAAGAAGAAAGGTGGAGAGGACACAGACAGGTCAAAGAGGCGGGATTGGAGCCAGTAAAGATAAGTGTAGGTGGGGAGTTAGGGAGGGGATAGGTCAGTCCAGGGAGGACGGACAGGTCAAGGAGGCAGGATGAGGCTAGTAGGTAGGAGATGGGGCTGAGGCTTGAGGTGGGAGGAGTGGATAGGTGCGAGGAAGGACAGGTTAGGGAGGCGGGGACGAGCTGGGCTGGATTTGGGATGCGGTCGGGGGAGGGGAGATTTTGAAGGTTGTGAAGGCCATATTGATACCATTGGGCTGCAGGGTTCCCAAGCGAAATATGACTGTGTCCAGTTCTGGTCACCCTGTTATAGGAAGGATATTATTAAGCTGGAGAGTGTTCAGAAGAGATTTACCAGGATGTTGCTGGGAATGGAAGGTTTGAGTTATACAGAGGCTGGAGAGGTTGGGAGTTTTTTCCCAAGGGTGGGGGATTTCAAAACTGGGGACATATTTTTAAGGCAAGAGGAGAAAGATTTAAAAAAAAACACAAGGTGCAATTTTTTTTACACAGCGTGGTTCATGTGTGGAATGAACTCCCAGAGGAAGTGGTGAATGTGGGTACAGTTATAATGTTTAAAAGATATTTAGATAAGTACATGAATAAGAAATGTTTAGAAGGTCACTTCCTTCTATTTAGCATCTTATTAATCATTAATAATGATAATTTTTTCACTGCCATGACTTAGGTCACAATAAAACACTCGCTTTGTGGCATAAAAGTAATGTAATAGACTTCAGAAGGCCTAGTGCAGGCAGGTGGGACTAGTTTAGTTTGGGATTATGGTCGGCATGAACTGGTTGTACCGAAGGGTCTGTTTCTGTGCTGTATGTCCATATGACTCTATAAATTTCAGCCTTGACCATGGCACTCTCGCCTAGAGGATGAAGCCGTGGTCCAGCCAGTGGTGCTGAGTTGCAAGGTTCAGGGTTCAAATCCCACTGAGCACAAAAACCAAGTTTGATATTCCAGTACAGCACGGAGGGTGTGCCACACTGCCAGAGGTGCTGTCTTTCAGATGAGGTGCTAAATTGAGACCCTTGTCAACCTGATTTGATGGATGTAAAAGGTGCTGTGATGCTACCTGAGGAAGAGCAGTGGAGTTAGCCCTGGCTGATTATGTATCCCTCAATTAACATAGATTATTGAGCCATTGTCATTTTTTTGATTTGATTTGATTTATTGTAGTCACATGTACCTAAGTACAGTGAAAAGCTTTGTTTTGCGAGCAGTACAGGCAGATCATAGTAACCAAGAACAGACTGATCGTAGGGTGCTTAGACAGAGCGAGGTATACAAGTTTACAGCTACACAGGAGGTGCACAACGCAAGATCAAGATTATTTGAGGTTAGAAAGGTCCATGTTAAAATCATTGAATCCCTACAATGCAAAAAGAGGTCATTCAGCCCATTGAGTCTGCACCAACCCTCCAAACATTATCCCAGCCCAGACCCACCCCATCCCATTTCAATAACCCTGCATGGGGTCTTTGCCACAGCTAACCCATCTACCCTGCACACCCCTGACCCTATGTGGAATTTTTTAATGTGGCCAATCCACCTAACTATAACATCTTTGGACTGTGGGAGGAAACTGGAGCACCCGGCAGAAACTCACATAGACATAGGGAAAACATGCAATCTCCACACATACAGTTACCCAAGGCTGGAATCAGCCCTGGGTCCCTCGCATTGTGAGGCAGTAGAGCCAACTGCTGAGCCACCATGCTGTGTGTAGGATCTTGCTATGCACAAAATTGTTGTTGTATTTCCTACATTACGACTGCGACTGCACTATATTTCATTGAATGTAAAAGGCCTTGAGATATCTAATTGCTGAGAAAAGTGCTGTATAAATGCAAGTCGGAAGGACATGACCCCTAGTCTGCCATCAATAAGATAATTTTTTTTACTGCCATGTCTTAGGTTACAATAAAACACTCACCGTGATATAATATACTTCCTTGTTAGAGAATAATGTATTTTAATGTAAAGAATATTTTAAAATTAGTTGAACCCATGTACTAGCTAACCAGTTTTATTTTGAGTAGCAAGTTATATGCATTTTCAATATTTCACACTGTTACTGTGATTTTTTTAAATATAAATCTGTCTTGACTGGTGAAAATTGTAGAGTTGGACAATAAAAACATAGATGTTTGGATTTGCAAAACATATGCTTACACTGCAGAACTCAGAGAGGCCAAGTCAGAAACCTTTGCATGTGTCAGGGAACTCAGGCAAATAGTGTAGGCTGCACAATTACCAGATGATTTGCAGGAATGTCCATAGAGAAATGTCCCTCACTGTTGGAAACATTCACCTTTTAATGGCTCATATGAGAAAATATGATCAGAAGGAGATCATTTAGTTCCTTAAGTCCTCCATCAGTCCACTCAATCTTGGCAGATCTGTTGCTCATCTGGGTATACCCACCTCAGCTCTGTATCCCCTCGATATCTTTACCCAACAAAAAAACTGTGGGGTCTCAGTGTGGAAAAATCCCAATTGTCCCAGTCTTTTAAGTGAGAGAATTCCTGATTTTCCACCATAAATGAAGAACTGTAGATGCTGAGATCTGAAACAAACAACACAAGAAATTGCTGGAGAAACTCGGCAGAAGGGAGAACGGAGTTAACGTTTCGAGTCCAGTGACCCTTCAGAACATTCTGAATGGTAATCATTAGGTTTTTGAAACAGAACCAGGAATGACTGAAGGAAATAGGTTTGATGCCTAGGCAAAGAATGAGCCAAAGATTTGTTCGCTGAACCTTGGGGTTGATTTAAACTTGGGATGGGGGACAAGATGGATTTGAGGTGAGTGATGGATCTGTAAGCCGCCCTCAATGAGCTGCCCAGCTGATTGGAATGGGCAGAATTCATTGATCTGACAGGAGTGCCGTTTCAAGTGGCTGAGAAATGTCGTGAGGGGCGACGAGAGAAGTTCCTGACAAAAATGAAGTTTGTGAAGGCTCGGAAAGGGGGTCCACAGCCTCCAATGGGAAAGAGAGGTGCAGGAGTGGGGGGAGTTTGGTATGTCAGTCTGCTGTATGCCCTGAACTCAACGGGCTACTACAAATGTCAGGGGTTGAAACGGTCAATTAAAATGAACTCTGGCTACATGAATAGGAAGAGTTTAGAGGGATATGGGCCAAATGCTGGCAAATGGGACTAGATTAATTTAGGAAATCTGGTCGGCATGGACGACTTGGACCGAAGGGTCTGTTTCCATGTTGTACAGCTCTGTGACTCTTATCATAAGTTATGGGAAATCCGGTAATCATGTTAATTGTATGTTTTACAGCTGATTTGTTACGGGTGATGGGCGATATTCTGCTTGTACAAGATCTGAGAAATTGCAAATAAAATGTACATAACATGCAAGTTTAGGATTTGTGACAAAGATGTTTCTATTTTTAGACAAGCAGATTTGGTAAACTATGCTGTCTATAGAAATTCTCATCTGAACTAAAAGAGAATCTTGTTGAGGTCCAATTGTATTTGGAAAGTACAGTCAAATTCAGCCTATGGGGTCTCACTATTGAAGGGTATCACTTACTGATGGGGGTTAGAATTACAAGTCAGTTTGACAGTTGGATGTTAGTTCCAATTGATCTTAATACACATCATGTACAATTTTGGCTGTAAGAAAGCACTAAATAAGCCTTACCAGAGGTGCTGAGTTTGCCACTCAGGCTAAAATGACAGCAGTATCTTCAAACGCACAGTTTCTCATTGAGAGAGTTGACAGCATTACGCTAGTGATACTAATCCTTAGTTGTCATCACCAAAAACATAAAAGTCATCTCTTGAAGAATATTCTTTTTAAGTATTAGCTGCATGCCATCCTATTATAGATCAATGTCACTCCTGTTTGATGTATGTTACTTGTACAAACTGAGCTCTACACAATAATCTGTAATTAGGATTACTGCTTTCAATTTCTGTAGCCTACAGTTAAAACTGGTGATAGTATGCAGCCGCAGGTGAACGGGGAGGACAGGCCCTTGTGTTGTTCAAACTGGTATGGAGATACTGGTTTCTGTTAACTGGCTATTCAGAATGGTGAATTCGATGCAGGAAAATATTCAGCAAGTCAGGGAGAGAGGCTATTAACGAGCTGAACCTTAGCTCTCAGAAATAGGTGGGCTGAAGTTGAGCCTGAGGTTAAAGTCTGATCTGTGCTAACTTATGCACCCCACCCAGGATTGTGAGTCTTTGGAACTGTCTCATAAAGCAGATCATTGGCTATTTTAAGACAGAGTTGTATAGGTTCTTGTCAGGCACAGAATCAAGGTGTAAAGGGATTAGATGGGCAATCAAGGCTTTGTCAAACACAGTGTAAACTGCACACCCCTCAAAGGACTCTGTGAGAGTGTGTGTGATTGTGTGTGTGTCTAAGTGTGTGTGTCTCTGTGTTTTTGTGCGTGCGCACGTGTGTGTGTCTGTGTTTGTGTGTGAGAGTCTCTGTGTGT